TTATGCTTTCTCTGCCGCTGACTTAGAAAAGTGTGCTGTTGAGGTCTTCTGTTTAATGATGGACGGTTGAGTTGTGTGTCGATTCCGAAAATGTTTTGTGAGGGAATCGAAATCATTTGTTGTTCGAGGGTGATTCAAAACAAACACTTTTCCTAAACACTATAACTGCAATACTCTTCCCGACGCGCGTTGGCGTCTTCAGAAGATGAAGAGAACGTATTTTTAACTCTAACAGTGGTCTCTATTTACATCTAACAGGATACACTTTCACTTTACAACGCACATCAACGTTTTCGTATAGAAGTTTTCTCGTGGAAGTTCCCGCTGATTTTAACAGATTGATTTATGAAATGGTTAACAATGGGCTCTTTAGAATGGGGTCTTTGTCACTGTTCATAGTTTTTATGCCACATTTTGCAATTTTCAGACTCGAAAGCATCAAAAAATCTAGTGTTATGTACCGATCTCAACAATTTCAGACAATTTTCCTTCATTCTATGGTCGTTCTGCAAGGCGTGTTTGTCAGATTGTCCGATGTGTTCTTTGAAACGAATTTTAATGGCTTGCTTGGTCTGACCGATATATTTTTTTGTCACAGTCCTCACACCTCATTTCATGTATCCCCAACTTTATTTTCCTAGGGTTACCTAGCATTTGTTGATGCGAGCAAGAAGTTGAAGGCTAGCTTCACATTCAACTTTTCAAAAATACGACCTAACCCGTTAGTGTACGAGGTCTGTTCGACTTTATTTTTCTCAAAAAATATTTATTCATTCATCAATTTCTATTTTGTTCCCTTCAAAGAAGTTCCCCTCAGCTATAATAAACTTTTGCCAGCGTTTTTTCCAATCTTCGAAGCAGTTCTGAAAGTGTATGTCCCTGAGCTCTCAGCGATTCGGTTTTCATCTCCTCAATCGGTGCAAAACGCCGTTTTTTATGGATATCTTCAATATTGGGAACAGTAAAATGTCGCAGGAGGCCAAATCTGGTGAATACGTTGGCTGAGGCATAATTACAGTGTTGTTTTTTGGCAAAAAAATCACAAACAGGTAATGACGAGTGAGCAGGTGCAAAAGCCATGAATGGGCTTGCTTCGTGATTTTTGGTTTATAGTTCACTTAACAGAAATTATAAATTGAAAAACAGTGCACTTTGTTTCATCTATCTAAGTACCGTAGTTTTCCCGTAATTAATTATTAAAAATCGAATGTGGAAGCGTGGTGACGTCACGCCCCTATTTCCGCTTCTTTTTCGATTGACCAATAGGGACAATAGAAATAATCAACATTGCCAAATTGTAGAGTTTACGGAGCCTATAATTATCAATTTAATTATGGAGGTGTATATGAACCCGTTAACGTTTCAATTAATGAAAAATTATCCACATGNAATGGTAACAAATTGCACTTACATGGAACACTGTCATCCTCACTGGTATACATCGATGTTTCGCCTTAAAACACTTGCCCCAAGGCTCTTCAGTACGAAATTAGATAACATTATAGAAAATACACACAATTCATTCATGAATTACGATTTTTAATGTCACAGAATAAGCTTCATCTGCTTATGTCATCGATGACATCGTAATGATATTCATTCACCTATTTGATTTAATCACAGCCAAAAAGAATCTTATTTGAATTGAAGGGGTTATATTTTTAGGAGTGAATAATTTTTAGGATAGTTTTTGGCTTTCTACTACTCCAAACTGAAAAAAAATCCTCCTGAAACTGCAAATGATTTTGTCCTATTTGTCTAAAAATATTCTGACTATAACACATTGTTACAGAAATCAAAAAGACTCTGCCCTCTCCAACAGATACTTCAGATCGCAAAAAAGATTGCGAGAAACGTTTACTGGGAGATATAATCAAAGAGGCCCACAGTCAGGGCAAATTTTTCATGGGCAGGTACGTCCTTTAACGACTAATGTTTTGAATAACAAGCCTCTAATTTTTTTTTGTTCCAGCGGAGAACTAACGAAACTATGGAACCAGTGCCCGAATAATCTGGAAGCCTGCAAAGGACGAGACTTTTTACCTTCTCTGGAGGAGTACTTCTCCGAAGCGATACAGCAAATTGAAAATCCTGCCAAAGGAGACGAAAACCTCTTGAAAGACGGCAACTTCGGTTGGAGGGCTTTGCGACTACTGGCCAGAAGGAGCCCGCACTTTTTTACGTACGGAGCAACGATTTTGAGTCCTCTGTCGGTCTACTTGGAGTCGATGGTTAAAAAAGTTGCCCACGAAATACCCGGCAAGGAAAACTCGCAAGAAAGTCAAAGTCAAAGCCAAAACGACACCGAACTTTATAACATCCTGACAGAAGAAGAACCGGCGTCGGAGGATTTGAAGCAGAATGAAACCGAGGAATTCGTTGATGACCCCATTGTACGGCGAGATAGTAAGAATATCACCTTGCCACAGTTGATTTTGTTTAGCGGGAAAGTTGCTCCTGATTGGGAAAAACTCGCTGTCAAGTTGGGTAAGTTTCAAAAGTTTTGTACTCGAGTATATTGATGACAATGCTCGTATATCGAGTTCATTAATATAATCTATGTAGAATAAAAATTAAACGAGCCCAGCGAATGAACCTTGTGGAACCCCGATCTCAACATATTTATCGGCTCTAAGTCACTTTAAACAATTGAACAAATGGTTTTGAAAGTTTGCTGAGAGTTATAAAAAATTCAAGTTTCAAAGATGAATTTTAAATTTACTTACTAAATTGACATTTGTCGACATTTTGAGCAATAGCATTATGGCACTGTCTACTTTGAGAGATCATTATATAGAGGTTCATAAAGATACAAAAGTGTTATTCAGTAATTTTTTTCAGGTTTCAAACCAGACGAAATAGACTTTTTCACGAATGAGAACCCTACGAGAGAAGAACAGGCAAGAAACTTATTACAGATATGGTTTGAAGACGATGAGGATGCATCATTAGAGAACTTGGTTTATATTCTCGAAGGATTGGAAATGAACGATGCTGCGGAAGTGGTTAGAAGTGAAATTCCAAACAATATGGAAATATGAACGTGAAAAAGGAAATGAGAGGAAATGTTTCTTTTAAGAATATGAGAAGTTGAGAATTAAATATGTTTCAATACTATGAAGCAGTATTTATTTACTATACTGGAAATTAATAGGGTATTGGCACAGATATATTGAAATTTAATGTAGATCTCATGTCTATTCGGCAACAATGTCTGTAGTAAATGATGATTTTGAAGATTTTATTTCATTTTTTCAATGAAACAATATTTTACAGATCCATACACAATATTTGAATTATTTATTTTAAAACTGTAAGCCATTGATAGAATTTGCTGTCAACGGTAACTGTCTGTTCCACATAAAGTAAGTGCTTTCGGAAGTTTTTGATAGAGCTTATATCAAAGAGTCATNAATAAAATAGTATAAAATACGCTTCTCATGATGAACATACAAATAACGCAAGGTACATATCATAATTAAAGATAAGAAGTATGAACATGTTAAAACCTAAGAACAGGATAGTAAACCCAATGAGGAAGAGGATTACCTATTCACATGCATATGTAACTACATGGTCCAGATAATCATCTATAGAGTAAAAACAGTGCTGTGTTGAATATTCACAGATCTTAATTTTGTAAGTCTGAATAATGTAGGACAGAGATCACTTTTTTCGTTGTATTCTTAGATGATCTGTATCCACATTCAATGTGAGAGCATAGGTAACTTAGATAGATCTTCAATATGACGAGCAAAACTTAGTTTGTTATCCAGTATCAGCCCGAAAAGCTTAACGTGTGGTCCTCAGATGGGGAAGTGGTGCTCATAACAAGACTCTGTGTTTTTGATTCTTTAAGGAATAAATAATTACAATTGAACCAGTTTTTTGATAATTCTTCCGCTTGGTTGAGAATATGTGCTGCGTTGTATTTCAGTGGGATTCACTAATTATGAAAAAATGGATGTAACACTCTGATCCAGATTCGAGAACAGGCCATTGAGATATATTATAAATAGTAGGGGCCCTAAGACGAACCCTTGTGGGACCCCAAAGATTGCATGATACGTGGATGTCTGGTTTTTGGATTTTACATACTGGGTATGATTTGTCAAGTAGGACGAGAGGAGGTTCAAGGCAACTCCTCTAATTCCATACCTTTCGAGTTTTGTTAATAGGATATCAAGATGGACTGTGTCGATAACCTCGAAAAATTTTCCTAAGACAGATATTATGGAAATTGACTGGTAACTATCTGGGCTGTTGAAATTTCCCTTTTCATAAATGGGTGTCACTTATAAAAAGGGAAATCCCAACAGCCCAGATAATTACCGGCCAATTTCCATAATACCTGTCTTGGGGAAAATTTTCAAGGTTATCCTGAAGGAAAGGTTGATTGCGTTTTTGGAGGAAAACAATATGTCATTCAATAATCAGTTCGGCTATAGATTAAGGAAGTCGACAATAACAGCTTAAGCTTTTTTATGAGTAATCCTGTACAATGTACCTTTCTGATTGTATTACAGAATAATAAAAAATTAAATAACGATTATAAATGTCATTCATTGGTGAATACCAAAAGACCATCGACCGAAGTCCTTCAGCCAGAGTATAATTTTTAAATATTTACAGTGATTTTTACATATGCTCACATAATAGAATTGAGGTACATAAGATTTGTGGTAAAAAAGTCTATAATAAATTATGAGAGAGGTTTGAAGTTTTCCCAAATAGTATTTTCCGGGTATTTGAATTTGATTGGTTGTCCTTTAGCTCTTTCTCTACATAATGCCTGCAGGGTGTCCAAGTTAGTTTCGGTTTTTGCAAAACGGTTTCCTAAGTCTGATAGTCTCTCCTTTATAAGTTTCACTTTTGTAGTTTCATGCAACAGTGCGTTTGGGTGACGCATTTCGGTAATATTTCATTTCATTTTTATTTGTCTCAAGAAAATTTTACATTTTATAGACACGTTCAAACCTTAACCCAAATAACTAAAGATAGATGATGACTAAATATGAATATATAAAATGTAAAATGTATGAATTATATATAAAACGTAAATGAATAAAATATATGAAGTATGATGTATAAAATGTAAACAAAAAATATATAATGTGAAATGTAGAGAATGTCAAATGGATAAAATATAGATAAATGTATGAATATATACCGTAACAATAAAATGGGANAAATAAATTTTAGGAGTTGCGTTTTCCACCCCTTACAACCATGGGGTAAACCAAATAAGTTTCTGGCTAAGTGTCTTTTTGGTAATACAAAACGTCAGGTTAATTTTAATATTATAACTTATTTAGTGCTTGTGGAAAAAATTGTTATACAAATTTTATGTACCCCCTTTAAGGTGCTGTATCTTAACAAGGGATGCTCCAATGAAATTTCGTTATATGACAGATCCTATCTTTTTTTCGATGAGTAATCACCTCCTTGAATGTTTTACACTTATTTAGTTACACCCTGTATAATGAAAAGAGGGTTGGGGACAATGGGGATTCCCGGGGAACATCAGCCTTGATGGTGAAAGTATTCGTAAGATATCCATCGATGGCCACTTGCAGGGAACGTTCTTTCAGGAAGCTGGAGAGCTATACACAGAAATGATTCGACAAGCTATAGCATCGAAGTTTGGCGAGCAAACCCTCATGCCACACATGGTCAAAGGCTTTAGAAGTATCAAGCGCAACAGCTCTTCACTCTCCATGTTTCTCGATTGCGTTATTCCAAGCATGGATGACATACGATAGAAGGTCGCCTGTTGATCTTTGTTTCTGAAAGCCATACTGATGATCGCTCAAGATGTTTAAAAATACAAGCTTTTCACAGAAGGTCGAGAAAATGTGAATGACGTAATTAAAAATTTTGGTCAAATTACTAAACATTGCGGCAACTCCTCACCTTTGTTAAGTTCATTAAAAACTTTTTTTAATGGAAATATGGCATTAGCCTTCACTCAATATATGGTTTGCCACTAAAAATTCAATCATTTTTTGGCAATTTTTTTTATTATTTTAACAAGATTTTGAAAACTAATTTCTTCTTAATACCTTTACAGACATTGAGCTGGCTCATACTCAACTTGTGCAGTTTTCTGTAAGATTTTTCTCTTTAAAAACTTCACAAAATCACAACATGTGTTTCGCTATACAATGTCTTTCTCAAGAAAAGCTTTCATAGTGAAAATCTTATAATAGACTGTATTAGTTAGTTTCAAATACTAATTAATGCAGCTATCATATCTTGAGTATAACATTATGCAAATGTGAAAATTTTATTGAGAAGTACATACCTTGATTTCTTGAATTTCAAATTTCAAGTTTCTGTTGTCTTCCTCCAACGTTTGAATCAAATCATCTTTTAATAAGAGCTCCTTTTCGAACTTGAAGTTATCATTCTTTTCCACTCCATATTGTTCGATGCCCACATTGAATCTATCTCTGCTGTTTGTGATGTACTCGGCATTTTTATTTTCATCCTCATTTTCCACACTTTTTTCAACAGGTTGAGATCCTTTCAGGTATTGCATAGATCCCAACCTAGTCATATCTTTTGAACTGTCTTTCTGAACACTCGAACTCTCTGGCTCAATAAAGTCATCCAAGGGTTTTTCTTGTGACTTCACTGTGTGTTCTTTACTGACACTCTCTAGAATCTTTTCATCATTTGATTTCTGTCTAGAGGAAGGATTAGTATCCACTTGCACCTCCTCCACAAAATCCTCAGTGTAATCATCACCACTTTCACTAGAATCTTGTAGATTTAGATCCATAGGAAGTGGGCTAATACTCTTAGGTGTAGGAGTAGAATCATTGGAGAGCTCGGACAGCAAATCCGATATATTCTGCGAGGTTTTACTTCTCTGACTCAGCTGTTCGAAGCTCTTGGAACTCTCAAGGAAAATCTTTTCTGCCTCTTTCATCAGATCGTCGATACTTCTTTCTTCAACATTTTTCTCAAAAGGACCAAGAGGACTTTGGGCTGCTACTTTATTGATTTCCTCTATAATACTGCCTACGTCTACGTCTACGTCGCAGTTACTGTTGTTGTCTTTTTCCAGGAGGTCGACCAAAGTGGTAGAAGGATTTAAATCTAGCTTAGGCACTAAGTTCTCTTCAGTATGTGTGGACTTCAACCACCATAAATTGGCTCGAGTTTTAGTTTCCATGTTGATATTGATTTTCTCACAAATCAGGTGTTATTATGGGACAATTTTTCACCACCCACCACGACCTCTACCTGAAAATATTTCGAACTGTTTAGCCAGTACAATGTGCAACCACGTTGTTTAGTTTAGATGACTGATAACAATAAATATGTAATTTACGTGAACAGAATTATTATTTCCAGTTAGTTTCAAAAACGATTTTTTTTCTGATGGCGAAAATAGGCATTAATAACACCAACTGCTGCGTTAGAGGATGCCATTCCAAAAAAGGAAGGAGTGCTTCCATATCCTTTCATAGGTTTCCAGGAGGAAATAAATTTACTGTTCGTATTACAAACGAGCATGGTGTCGTCGAGAAAGTAGACAGACATGAGATGTGGATTAAAAATTTGAACATCGTCAAAAAACTATCCAACCGAGCCACTGTATGTTCTTTGCATTTCACAAAGGATGCTTTCATTTTACCTGGTAAGTACGATAATATCCTTCATATTTCAATTATATGTGTACTTATTGAATTGAATCAAACGAATTATAGTTATTTTAATATTGTAAAACAAACGAAAAAAAAAACCAAAAACATTTTTATAATGTTCAATAATTTTTAAAACAGCAAAAATAAGTCTTTAATGTTTATAAAATTTCGTTCAGTAGAATTGAATGCTGTAGGCACATACATGGGAATTTCATTTCCACTAGTTTCTAGGAATTTCATAAACTACACCTCATGATTTGATCACAAACTTCATTTGAAAAACACAACATGTTTTGCTTACATAGTAGCTTTATCAAGTGATTTTAATACTTCAAGTTGCTTCTAACACTAATATTTATATACTACAGGTAACCATAATTGAGACTACCTCACATTATCATATTTTACATTACCTCACATCTATATCAATAATAACTCTTTCTTGGTTCCACAGAAAACACGTTCAATAAAGGTGATCTATTCAAATCCAGTTGGTCATTCATTAGAATGTTTCAATTTTTAAGTTTACTAATTTCCATTGCTTCCAAATGATTCGATTTCAAACCTTTATTTTCTTTGTGCGAAATTTCGAACTTTTCGTTAATAATATGATTTTCTTCTAGAAGATGATTTGAATATGTTGAATTTGTTTTCTTATTTGCATAGCTCGTATGCTCTTCCTGGATTCGATTCCTAAATGTCTGCCAGTTTGACCAATATATACTTTAGGACAGGTTCCACACTTTAATTGATATACTCCTGATTTCTCGAATTACTTGTTCTATATGCAATTTTAATATCTCATTTCCTCAAAAATGAAGCTACTTTTTCCGTTGTTTGTTTCTAGGAATCAGGAGTATTTTATAGCCACCCTGAAAAATCATTATAATAATAAATTTGTTCATGTATAAACACTTTTTCAGACTGTCCAACCCAGAGACGAAGACTGAAATCTACCGCAATTCCTACTGTAAAATTACCAGAACCAACTCAGGGAGAGAATAGTTCTACCAAACGAACCACCGCTGGAGGCAAACGTAAGGATGCCCTTCGATTATCTGATGACTGTTTAGTTTCGATTTCCCTCAATGAGCAGGAAACCAAAAAGGTTGACCACTTGTCAATCAAAAAGGTTGACCGCTTGTCAATCGAAAATTGCACTAGTAAGTAAAAAACCTGTATGACATATTAGATTATATTCAACAACAAATCCACGTCTATTTTCCGTATGATCTATTTCGATAATGAAAGTCAAGCAAAAATAAAAAAAATGTTAATCCACCTCAAATTTTTCAGACCAATAATTTAGGTATTTGTTGCTTGTTCTATCGAAAGTTGTTGAAGAGAAAAAAGACATGATTTCTTAAGTAATTCAATATTTCAACTAATCAATGCAACATGCAATCAGATGCTACCTCATTTATGAAAAATGCTATGAATAAAAAAAATTGTAATTTGAAGTGTTCTCCAAAGTTCAGTTTCAGGGCCTGTTTCTTCCAGGTACACATTAAACAATCCAAGAAAAAAAATGTCTACAAGGCTATCAACTGTTCTCATCACAAACTGTTTTTGTTATTAATGTTTTTGTTTATTGTACTGTATGCTAGTTGAATTTGTATTAATTTCATCATAAAAATCAAATCAAATATTTTCCAGATTCTGAAAAACAGGCGGTAGAGGCGCTATTGAGTTTCATTCCTACTCACACGAACTTCAGAAAACGAAAGCCAAGTTGATACGGATGATGGCAGAGTTCGTCAGTTATGTAAAAATCAAAAACAGTCAATCCATCCATATACATTTTAGACGTATTGTAATATATAAGTATGCATTCATTTTCAGACAAAACATGAGTTCTGGATCCACTGAAAGGGTCCCTAAGGAAAATGTGGCCTTGATGAGGATTTTGAGTTTCAAATAAATAATTTTTTGTTTTATTGAACAAAAAAGACTCTAGATTTTATCGTGCTATGTGTAAATACTCTATTTTATTAAGATTTTCAATTTTTGTAAAAAATAAATCTATATTTGCATTATTTTTATTTCTAACACCATCGGATTCATTTTTGAATACCTTTTGAAGGGTTAACAAAGTTTTTTTTCTGATTCGCCTGGTATAGCATATTTGTACCATTTTACTGGCTAATACACCTTGCTAATATTTTTCAACTTCAAAAGAAGAGAGAGAGAACTTCAATTGAAACTATGTTAAAGCTATTTTCCAGATTCGTGAACTGTGTTCGGCAGGTTTTCACTGTGTCCGTTATATTAATGTCTAGAACGTTGTACGAAATAATACATAAATCTTAATTTATTATATGGAAAATTACAGGACTATATTCGTGAAATCGGTCCAACCAAAATTTAGTAAAGGTACAACTTCAATTGAAACTATGTTAAAGCTATTTTCCAGGTTCGTGAACTGTGTTCAGCAGGTTTTCAAGCCTGATGTTTCGTCCACGACTGCGGTTGGACATTATCAAGAGCGGTGATGTAACGAACTGAGAAAACACTGTGTCCGTTATGTTAATGTCTAGAACGTTGTAAGAAATAATACATAAATCTTAATTTATTATATGAAAAATTACAGGACTATATTCGTGAAATCGGTCCAACCAAAACATCAAGGTCAGAGTCCCAAGTTTTATTCATAATTATGCATTATGAATACAATCCATCAGCGAGTGATATTCAGTCAAAATAAAAATTTTAAGCTCGTAAATTTACTATGGAACATTCATCATCTATTCCTTATTTGATTTTTTAGTGTATTCCACTTGTGCACAAATTAACCTTTCCTAATCATAAAATATTGGATAATGTTTTTGACAATTGGAGCCAGCAACACCCAACAGAAATAAAGAAGAATAAGAATAACTAACCTAAATTGTGATTTGTTTGATGGAAACAAAAATAATGAAAGTGTTTTACATATAATTTCCATCTGAAAGATAAACTTCTCGGGATATGATAATTAAATGAAATAAACTGAAAAATTAATATCAATAGTCTCCAACCTGTACAAAATGGAAGAAAGTTTCGAGATACTACGTATGGAATACAGGGTAAATGTCACAAAATAATAACTGGGAAATATATTTTTTTCCTATTGATTCCGGTCGTTACTTGATGAAGATCAATAGTAATTCCATAAACTACACCTTACGATTTGACCACCACAAACTTTTGTGATCAAATCGTAAGGTGTAGTTTATGAAAAAATTAAAAATATATTATTGAGTTCTTTTTAACTATTTCAGGATGTGCTCGAAAAATCATTCAAATCTAGGAGAGTGGATCTCCTGGAGCAGAAAATGAAATCTTTCAACACCGAAATCGATTTGAAAACAGTCTTGGACCTGATCTTGCGGGAACTTTTGCTCAACCTTCTCGAAGAACAATCCAGCATTGCCGTACTCAAAGATTTCATTGATTTCTCAATACTGCTATGCCGACAAGGATTGAGTTCGCCCACAGTGCCCGTCCTTCTGCTGGGGGATGTATTTGAGACCCTAACGCTAGATGTGTGCGAGGTTATGTTTACTTTCGTTGAGCAGAATGTCCACATATGGAAAGAAGAACTGTTTTTCACCGCTTGTAAGAACAATTTGCTCAGGCTTTGCAATGATCTTCTGAGACGTCTTTCTCGAACTACGGCAACAGTTTTTTGTGGCAAAATCCTGTTGTTTCTAGCGAAGTTCTTTCCATTTTCGGAAAGATCAGGACTGAATATTGTAAGCGAGTTCAATTTGGAAAATGTGACGGAGTATGGAATGGATCCTTCTGACGATGTGGTTCCTGAAATTCAAAAGGGAGATCAGATACAAAAGGTTGATTTCACATTTTACTGCAAATTTTGGCAGTTGCAAGACTTTTTCAGAAATCCTAGCCAGTGTTACAATAAAGCCCAAGTGCTATTATTGATTTATAAATTGACCATCATGTAATTATTGTTGAGAAAGGTATAGTAAATGCCTAGTCTTTATAACAGAGCCAAATTTTCATAAAGAATTGTCATTGATAAAATATGTTCTCTGAAGGGAACAAAATATAAATTTGATGAGTAAGTGAATAAGTAAATATTGTTTGAGAGAAATGAAAATTCATCGTATTTTTTGAAGAGACCTCCTCCTTATGTAACCAATACAAAATGATTTTTATTGAAAAATATCTGTTCCTAAACTCTAAAGACTGTCTGGCTATATGTCATCTTAATTTCTTTTAACTAGTTATATGAAAGCAAGGTCAGTCACCTTGGTTGATTTAAAATATCAACCGTATTTTATAATTGCCGATATTTTCTTCATGAGTCAAACTTTGTATTTGCTACATGTATCAGTTCAAGACTAATCGTGGGATTTTTCAAATTGCATAATAAATTGGTACTTACATGAGGTGATTCTGTTTCAGCACTCCACAAGTATACTAAATACTTTCCATGGAATAAAATTGGATTATGTGACTTCTATGGAAAACTCAACGAATGTGGGTTATTTCGCAAAATACCTAACCAGTCAAAAACTTCTGGATCTGCAACTGCATGACGTCAACTTCAGAAGATCTGTTTTGCTTCAGTTTCTTATAATCTTTCAATATTTCACTTCTACAGTTAAATTTAAATCGTAAGTATTCCCAATCGTAAGCTGTATTTTGCTCAAGTCGAACCCCGTCTTCGGTATGCTATTACTCTCTGGATAGCATACTAGAAATAGAAATATTTATTCCAGGTAGACAATTAGACATGTATACATTTGTTAAGATAGTGATATAGATCAGATAAAATGAAATAGTGCAAAATACGCTTCACATGATGAACATACAAATAGCAAGGTACGTATCATAATTAAAGACAAGAGGTATAAACATGTTAAAACATAAAAACAGGATAGTAATCCCAATGAGGAAGAGGATTACCTATTCACATGCATATGTAACTACATGGTCCAGATAATCATCTATAGAGTAAAAACAGTGCTGTGTTGAATATTCACGGATTTTAATTTTGTAAGTCTGAATAATGTAGGAGAGAGATCACTTTTTTCGTTATATTCTTAGATGGCCTGTACCCACATTCAATGTGAGAGCATAGGTAACTTTCATAAGGCACTTCGATAGATCCTCAATATGACGAGCAAAACTTAGTTTGTTATCCAGTATCAGCCTGAAAAGCTTAACGTGTGGTCCTCAGATGGGGAAGTGGTGCTCATAACAAGACTCTGTGTTTTTGATTCATTAAGGAATAAATAATTACAATTGTACCAGTTTTTTGATCATTCTTCCGCTTGGTTGAGAGTATGTGCTGCGTTACATTTCAGTGGGATTCACTAATTATAAAAAAATGGATGCAACACTCTGATCCAGATTCAAGGACAGGCCATTGAAGTATAATTTTTAAATATTTACAGTGATTTTTACATATGCTCACATAATAGAATTGAGGTACATAAGATTTGTGGTAAAAAAGTCTATAATAAATTATGAGAGAGGTTTGAAGTTTTCCCAAATAGTATTTTCCGGGTATTTGAATTTGATTGGTTGTCCTTTAGCTCTTTCTCTACATAATGCCTGCAGGGTGTCCAAGTTAGTTTCGGTTTTTGCAAAACGGTTTCCTAAGTCTGATAGTCTCTCCTTTATAAGTTTCACTTTTGTAGTTTCATGCAACAGTGCGTTTGGGTGACGCATTTCGGTAATATTTCATTTCATTTTTATTTGTCTCAAGAAAATTTTACATTTTATAGACACGTTCAAACCTTAACCCAAATAACTAAAGATAGATGATGACTAAATATGAATATATAAAATGTAAAATGTATGAATTATATATAAAACGTAAATGAATAAAATATATGAAGTATGATGTATAAAATGTAAACAAAAAATATATAATGTGAAATGTAGAGAATGTCAAATGGATAAAATATAGATAAATGTATGGATATATACCGTAACAATAAAATGGGAAATTATATTCAATCACTGTGATTATCCATGAACAAATGCCGATTTTCAGCGATCAACTGCGTACATTCTTGGAAGTTGTAAATACAGTTACTAGATAAGATACATTTCAATTTGGATTTGAATTTTTTGGAGGTAAATCTCGAAATTGAGATGGTAAGTTGTTATAGAGTCCCGTATCAATTTTGTTGGTTTTTTGAAGCCTTGTTTTTGGTTCAACTATTCTGGTTTTGAACCTTGTATCATATTGATGTATCTCTTCATGAGTTTCATAGCATTTAATATTATTTTATTACATCTTATGGCAGACTTTTGTAAAATTAGTAGTTTGATTATGTGTGTTTGAGCTGCATTACTCAAAGATAAAGTAGCATACTGAAGGTGTGAATGGAATAGGCACTAATAAGAAGTTAGCGCTGCTGTTTGATTCACAAGGTCTCGAACTTTTTTAATAGCAAAAACAACCTTGGAGAGTTTAGTACACAAAAAATTCACATGTTGTGACCACTGGAGATGACTGTCAATTTGAATACCTAGAAATTTCACATTTCCATACATTTCTTCCTGATAAGCAGAATTATTTGGCCTACAATCAAATTTTAGGCTTATAGTTTTACTCTCATTCAGTATGAATTCATTGCTGGCGAACACTTTTTAGTGTAGATGTTTCAGCTATTTGGAGATTATTCAATGCAGGATTACAACTTGAATAAATAATTTTTGAATATTTGAGAAGTGGACGGCAAATCATTTCATATATTTCAGTTGCAGTTTTAGTGTTGATTCCTTTTTTTTTATATGTCAGACTTCAAAAGTGTTTTCCTCTATTGATACATTTCTTTTGAATCATTTTTGTATGGCTGTTCAAGTTGATTTTGTGGTCAATGTTAACTTCCAAGTATTTTACTGATTGCCTGCTTCTCACCTCACCATTTTGTTGTTGATCTTTATTGTAGGTAGCTTCTCTGAAGGGTTGTGATAAAAAATAATAAATTTTGATTCTTCCGGGTTGAGTCTCAATCGCCATCTATTGAACCAGAGCGTTGTCCTGTCGACAAGGCTTTGCAGTTCCACTATTATGAGTGTTAGCGTGCCGTTGTGTGAAACTAAGGCAGTGTCATCTGCATACTGTAAGATGTTAAGATTTTTATTAAATGCATTCTTGTCTTCCAAATTGTGATTGTATATATCATGGCAGTATATATTATAGAGAAGTGAAGATAACAGAGAGTCTTGTCGAACTCCTTGTTGGGGAGCAAATTTCTTGGAGAATGAATTTCTGACTCTGACGGTTAGGGTTCTGTTCTCAAAATATTTTTTCATGATGAGGGTGTTCCAATTCTTGAAGTTTATATAACATTCCTTCATACCAAACGCTATCAAAAGCTTTGTAGATATCCAAAAATAAAGCTGACGAGTGTAAGTTGATCATGCGACTGTTTGTACGTTAGATATTACAATTACTATAGGGTTGGTTGTATTTCTTTTTTCTCTAAAACCTAATTGATACATTGGTACATTGATATGTTCATTGAGTTGCTATTTGATGATTTTCTCAAAGTTTTTCCTTAACACTGGCAGAAGAGTAATGGGTCTATAGTTGCAGGTCTGTGAATGGTCTGTATTGAGCTTTGGAATTGCAATTATCAATCCTTCTTGCCAGGCTGTGGGATAGTAATGATTGTTCAAATTTCCAGGAGGTCGACCAAAGTGGTAGAAGGATTTAAATCTAGCTTAGGCACTAAGTTCTCTTCAGTATGTGTGGACTTCAACCACCATAAATTGGCTCGAGTTTTAGTTTCCATGTTGATATTGATTTTCTCACAAATCAGGTGTTATTCTTCACACTTTCGCTAATTGATATCATGGTTATAATACAAACAACTACCCTTTCAAAACCTCTTTCTATCTATTCTACTGACAGCAATGATAGTCAGATGACAGTTATATGTTTACTAACAAACCATAGACCTGTCAATGAGGACTAGCCGTTACGTCAGTTTTACATACATTCACTGTGAACCACACAAAGTTTTGGAAATGACACCACTGCACAAATGAATGTGCTTGGTGCACCCCAACAGTAATATGGGTTGCATACTCAGTAGTCGTCAATATATGCGCACACATACACACCCAAACATGTGTATGTGTGTGCGTGTTCATCCCGTTTTTCATAACTGAATTTCATTATAACGACATATTGCAGCTACACACGCCATTTTTAAAACTCACGACATGTATTCCTGAAAGAACGTTATTTTCTCGTTAAATGAATCATGAAGAAGTAGCAAACTCACTTTACCAGTTTGTAAAACTTTCAATAGGCATTTCAGCCATAGACATACGTTTTCTATAATAGTGAAATTCAATTATACAGTGCCAAGTACTTGAGACTCGCTAGCTCACATAATGCTCGTGAATTTATGAATGAATTGTTCGCTAACGTCAGCAGGTCATTGCTTAGATTACATAGGTACCTAATTTTCTTCCAGTGGTCATCAAACATGCCCGATATTGTTACAATCTAATGGAAATACGTCATCTGATTCGTTAGGTGGAAATAGTTATTATTAGTTGTAGAATGATCCCAATTTTCAGCTGATAAGTACAAATATATCCTGAACTAAATATTATACTATATATCATGCTTAGTGCACCTGATCCTCCAGAGAGGGGGATCTACAAGTCCGTGGACGTGTAGAGAGTCGCACTAAGTAACGACCAAAATTTTTATTTTTTTTATTAATATGCAGCTGGGTATAGTCATTTTTTAGGTGGACTGTAATATTCAGTGATTCGTACAAAATTATCATCATTGTGTTTACTTAATTCATTGCATTGTCTTCTAAAGTTGGAAAATATCAAATAATCATCCCAATTTTGACTTTTTTAAACCGCTTATGTTCTATTTTCTTTTCATTTGTTAGATATATTAAGTCACTTAATATCTTGGAAAAACCTACTTCTCTGACTATTATCACGACAATTATCAAATATGAAATGTTTCAGGTCATCGCCTTACGTGGAAATCGTATCACAGAATGTCGGATATTCACGGATTCCTAGATTACACGGCCGAGACATATCCAGATCTTTGCACCATACAAACGATTGGCAATTCAGTCCAAGGAAAACCTATCAAAGTGAGTAATAGGTTCTCACCTGAGTGTATGTCGGCTCTAGTAGCGGCTTGTAGAGAGATTTCTGGTTCCAGGAGGATGATCGAGTGGATCACACAACACTAGCTGGCCAGCAACTTTCTTAATTAACTGAGTAGGTCGTCGAATCACCTAAGATGCTTTCTGTAGCGAGTCTATATATCGAATCCTTGTTGTTCTGCTGATGTTTCAGCGACTGACCAAATATATTGATACGAGGAGCGCTCCATATATTTAATCAGAATAGGAAACACAGCCGAACTTCGCGAAACATACAAACTTTGTAAATTGAGTGAAAATAATCAGTAGACAAATACACAGAGAAAAAATGAAAATAAAAAAAAACTGGTGAAGACGGAACAGAGTGTGTGTTCGGCGAGTCTTGGCCTACACCTGCCGATATAAAGGACCAGTGACCTGTCCACCTTCCTGAAAAGGACAGGATGGTCGATGACCCAGGAAGACAACTCCTCGAGTGAATGTAGAATGGGTCATATGTGGCCTAAGTGCTGTGGGCTTACACTCACCCTCCCCACTCTACAGATACAGAATACAGTTTGAAGTAGAACCATGAAACTTTTGGAAACAACCTAATAAACCCACAGGTCCGTAGGACAAAATTTTGAGGTCTAGCGGTATTCATAAAGGCGGAATTTCCTGAAATATTCTTAGCTGAATGCATCGATGTGAGAACAAAATATCAATTCTCGAATTGAATCAATTTCATTACGTGGAATAACGAGAATACTCAATAACAAGATTTCTATGAAAGTACAATTATCAAAGATACAATGTTCGAATATATGATCAAAGTACGTAAACGACTGAACTCGTAGTTTTCAACAATAGGATTTCATTGTTGACATGAGACCGCAGAGCCGGCACCCGACTTCACTGCTTGATGCATTGAATACATCAATGGCTAAGCTATTAGTTCAGTTAACTTTTCAACAGTATTTGTACGATTTTTTCTACATTTTTCATGACCTCCATGGGTGAGGATTGTTCACACACAACCAATCAGATTCTTTAAAGCCCTTCTTCTCCTTGCAGGTCCTGAAAATTTCCAACGGCAATAGATCCAACAAAGCTGTTTGGATCGACGGCGGCATCCATGCCAGGGAATGGATTACTTCCGCCGTGGTCACCTACATCATCAACCACGTGGTCTTGAATTTCGAAAACGAACCCCAGTACATGCAGAACGTCGACTGGTTCATAGCGCCCCTGCTGAACCCAGATGGTTACGAGTACTCCCATACGGTGGACAGATTGTGGAGAAAAAACAGAGCGAGGTCCGGACAATGTGCAGGAACCGACCTGAACAGGAATTTCGGGTGAGGCGAAAGCAGGTCTAAGACCAAAGTTCTATTGTCATTTTTGCAAAACAATGTCACAGAGGTCCAAAATGTTTGCTTCCCATTGGATATATGCGCAGATAGGTAAATAGACAGATAGATAGATAGGTTGACCTTTACAGAACTTCTCAATAGAACCATTTAAGAAGTTGAGAAAACTGCATCAAGTTGAAGAGCCTAATGCGTCAGGAACAAAGGTACTGTTAAGAAAAAACTATTGGCAAAGCTCACTAGTTTTTGAAAAGAAATAGCCGAAAGGATTTGCAACTCATATAGAACAATATCGGCGGTAGTAGCTGGAGTGATAACAGGAGTACAGTTTGTTAAGAATAGGAAAAAGGGTGAAATTTTTGCGGCCTACGCGTAATGAAGAGCTGATTTGCGATTAAAGTTGTCTCTGCTTAGTGTAGATGTACTAGTCTGGTTCGCATGTACTCGATTTAGCTCTTTTTGGTGACATTTTTCAACCCTGTCCAATTACGACCAAGGTGCTATTCGATTCGTATTTTTGCCTAGAAAGTTTAAGGAAAGGTCCGAAAACACGCCGGTAAAAATTACAAAAGTTATAAACAATTAAGTGAAAAAAAATGGGGCTTTAGTTTTTTCTTAATATCTCGGAAAATTTTCAAAATTTTGGAAATTTGAAAAAAGATTTGAAAAGATCAAAGAATTTGCGTGAAAAAAGTAAGTGGCTCATCATCTGTGGTTTCTTCTGTATTTTCTTGTCGTGATGTTCCTTGAACCTCCTCCTCTTCGACTTTTTCAAGTATCGGTTCACAGTATTCTTGAACTCCTTTGTGATCATAATTTGAGGATGTAACTTAGGTATAAAAGTTGAGTAGATGCTTTAGGTTTTAATAAGTACGCTACAAAATGCCGAAGTGCCAACTGTCAATTTTCTCGAGGGTCACCGATTAAACACCAATCAAGCTCAGATCGTGTATCATTCCACATCCTACCGACTGCGCCATGTGTTATTGAATATATGGACAGGATGGCTAGGATTGGAATGATACATGATCTGAGCTTGACTGATGTCAACTGTCTCGAGGGTCACCGATAAAACACCAGTCAAGCTCAGATAGTGTATCATTCCACACCCTAGCCATCCTGTCCATATATTCAATAACACATAGGTAATCATGATCATAGAAGTATCTAAGTAGGTATCTTTCACGTATGATTACGTGGAGTATATAAAAAAATTGGAGTATATAATAGAATTAACTTTCAGTATGTCATTCACCAAAAAAAGCTACTGTAATAGCGAAACATGTGATATATTTATGGTAAAGAAAGTTTTTGGCTTTTTACTACTCCATCATGATACAGAAAAATGTGGGAATCTTCCAAAGAAAGAAAGGAAATAATCAATTTTAAATATTGTTAGAAAATAAAGTTTGTGACGATCAAATCGTTAGTTGTAGTTTGTAAAATGATATTGACATGTTCAAATTTTTTCTTCCTTCCTTTGGTAGAAAAGTAGAAAGCAAAAAAGATTTTTTCTCAGAAAAAGTAGGTCAAAAACGAAGCAGAACTCTTTGACTTCTCCATGCCTCTCTAGAACTTCATTCAATTGTCTTTCACAAAAATGTAGTAGGAAACACTTCGAAACGTAAATTTAAATGATTTCTATGAACGAATGTTTGAATTATTACGATTACTCATTTTATTTTCAAATTTTCAGTTTCCAATTCTCCTACTCAATTATTCTCGTTGGGTTTAGTCCATTTAGTGCCTCGATATTACAAGGTTCATTTCCCGACATTTTGTTGCAACCCATTTCCCCAATACATAAACCTTCCAAAGACTTTACTCGACTTAGGACCACGTATGCTTGTCTTTCAAACAATTTCGAGCCTAAATACATAACTGCGTGGTCTACAGTGCTAGTGAATAGTGGAAGCTAGGTTTGAACATTGGGGTGCCTAATGAAATGTTTTTTTTCTTTCAGATATCGTTGGGGAGGACAAGGCTCCTCGAAAAATCCCTGCACTGAAACCTACGGGGGGTCGGGTCCGTTTTCCGAACCAGAAACAAGAGCAGTCCAACAATTCATCACAGGTAAAAAGGCGACTCATAAAACTCTTTTTCCTCTAATTCAGTTATTCTCTAATCCGGACATTCCAGGAAATCCGGCAAAATGGCGAGCCTACATTTCATTCCACTCGTATGGGCAGTACATCCTCTACCCTTGGGGTTACAGCAAGGCGGTGCCTCCAGACTACAAGGATCTGGAAATGGTCGCGAAGCAGGCAGCCGCAGCAATTCGAAACGTCGGGGGACCTTCATACACCACTGGCCCAGCGGGTAACACTCTTTATCCCGCTGCTGGAGGATCGGACGATTGGGCAAAGGGGGTCGTGAAGATGAAATACGCATATACGTTCGAACTCAGGGATAACGGCAGGTAAATATATGAAATTTCAGTTGTATATATTTATTCATTTGTTCATTCAACGATTTGCTACTCTAACAAAATAAAGCAGTTGACGTTTCAATGGGGAATGTTCCTCAATTTGGGTTATTACAGAAAATGCAAGTTTGAACAAAATGAAGTTGAGTTCAATTCATGAGTTTTTCAAATTCACTTCGAAAAGTATTCAAATTGATGTTNGCTACTAGTTCTTAAGTCAAACAATAGTGATAATTTATAATTTAATTTATTCAATTATCAATTAAGGTTATTTAATTTAGAGTCGGATTAAATGTAAGCTATTATTATGAGTTGATGAAATAAAGACCATTTAAGGAATACACTGACCCCTTGCTTGATGAAAATTAATACTATCCATTTTTTTCAAGTCAAAACACATGCACTACAGGAAAATCCTTAAAGCGCTCTCGCCTGTGCGAAAGTAGCGATTAACATCGGATTTTAATCGCTGGAGATCAAATCCATTTGGAAAAATATTCCCAGGAAGTTTATTCTACATAAACGCAGTACTCCAGATGAAAGAGTTCTTAAACAGTGAAGTTCGAGGTGTACTGAGTTGAACCTCAAAACGATGAGCAGACACAATCCGCCGCGTACTTCGGACATGCACCGCTCTTGGTGGAATCAAATGTGCCAAGTCACTTGAACACTTCCCGTAAAAGTATCTATAGAAGTGAGACAAATCTCCAACCTTTCTTCGATGTTCCAGTATATCCATGTTGCACGTGATGCTCGCGTCTCTAATCAGGCGGATGGCTCTTTTCTGGATGGAATCCAGGAATTTTAGGGTTGTTTGGGAGCAGAGCTCCATACATGAGAACAATACTCCAAAGGAGATCTGATCTGAGCTTTATAAAGCATCAAAAGTTGCTGAGGTGTGTACAGTTTCCTGGTTCAGAACAGTGCTCCAAGCTTTTGAGAAGCAGCCTTTGCAATTTCAGCGACATGATTGTGCCAAGACATATTGGTGTTTATTTTGACCCCCAAAAAACTTATCGAAGCAGAATGCGGAATTGTCTATCCTGACATTATTGTATCCGGTTCGGAGACATTTATCTTTTTTGAGGAAAACCGATGCCTGGGTTTTCGTTGCATTTAATTGAACCGGGTTACTTTCACCTCAATTCGAAATCACTTCTAGATCCTCATTAAGATATGCATCCTCCTGCTGCCGGTGAAGATGCTGATGTCCTGGTATACAAATGGAATGTAAAGACAAGGGTGCTGTCGTCAGCAAAGCAATATATTGGATTCTTGTTTTTTTCCAATAAGTCATTGATATACAGGGTGTAACTGAATAAGTGTAAAACATTTAAGGTGATTCCTCATCGAGAAAAAGATAGGATCTTTCATATAAAGAAACTTTATTGGAGCATCCCTTGTTAAGATACAGCCCCTTAAAGGGGTTACATGAAATTTGTATAACAATGTTTTTCAAAAGCACTAAAAAAGTCACAACATTGAAATTAACCTGACGTTTTGTACTACCAAAAAGACACTTAGCCAGTAATTTATTCGGTTCACCCCATGGTTGTAAGGGGTGGAAAACGCAACCCATTAATTTATTTCCAATTTAACTTTTTGTCTTATTATTTGTTTATCATTTAAAAATTCATTTCCGATAGCCTGTTTCATTCTTAACAAAAAATGTCTCTTGGGTCTTTTGCCCAAAATAAACCAGTTTGCAGCAAAAAATTATTTTAGGAACAACTACAGAGATACATCTTCATAAATGTGAAAATACGAAACAAATCTATCTAGTAGGTCGCTATAAGCGGTAATGACAATTAAATTGGTATGACGCTGTCAGTTTGTGAATTTCCGAAATTGAATCAATACTAATTGTGTGTTGTTGTTCTGTTCTCAATTTGATACTTTAATAATTCACTTGTTATTAAAATGGCATACACAAATGAGGAAATGACTGATATGCATTATGTTTACGGTCTGTCGCAAGAGAATGGATTAGAAGCTTCTAGAAGATATGCTGAAATGTATCCTCAACGGCAGCATCCTTCATATAGAATATTTGCTCGACTTCATCAACGATTACGAGAATATGATTCACTCAACAAAAGAAACTCAGGATTGTGGTCGCCATCGAGAAGTACGAACACCACAGCTTGAGGAAGCAGTACCTAATTTGATTGAAGAACAAGAAAAAAGTTTTAGGGGTTGCGTTTTCTACCCCTCACAACCATGGGGTAAACCAAATAAATTTCTGGCTAAGTGTCTTTTTGGTAGTACAAAACGTCAGGTTAATTTCAATATTCTAACTTTTTTAGTGCTTGTAAAAAAAATTGTTACGCAAATTTTATGTACCCCCTGTAAGAGGCTGTATCTTAACAAATGTTTTACACTTATTTAGTTACACTCTATATAATAAAAAGAGGGTTGGGGACAATAGGGATTCCCGGGGAACATCATCCTTGATGGTGAAAATATTCGTGAGATATCCATCGATGGCCACTGACAGGGGCGGTTCTTTCAGGAAGCTGAAGAGCCACACACAAAAATGATCCAACAAGCCATAGTATCAAAGTTTGACTAGCAAACCCTCATGCCAGACACGACCAAAGGCCTTTGAAATATCAAGCGCAACAGCTCTTGATTCTCCGTGTTTCTCGTTTCGTTCTCACGTTTCTCGTTATTCCAAATATGGGTGACATACGACAGAAGGTCGCCTGTTGATCTTTGTTTCTGAAAGCCATACTAATGATCACTCAAGATGTTGAAGAATATTTGAGGATATTGACGGTGGCATACGGTGACTGTACTCTCAGTTAGAAAAATGTTTAAAAATACAAGCTTTTCACAGAAGGTCAAGAAGATGAGAATGACGCAATTAAAAAATTTTATCAAATTACTAATCATTGCGGCAACTCCTCACCTTTGTTAAGTTCATTAAAAACTTTTTTTAATGGAAATATGGCATTGTTAGTAATCCTTTGTTTTTGAAACCCAAATTAGCCTTCACTCAATATATGGTTTGCCACTAAAAATTCAATCATTTTTTGGCAA